AGGCGATGTAAGCAAACATATTGTTCAGTCTTTCAAACAAATAGGAAGAATGCTTGAAACTGACCAGAGTTAATTGACGAGATCAGTTGATTTGCGAGATCTCCTCAAATTTCGCGACCCGAAACTCGCTCTGAGTTTTACCGTGGAACAATTTGGAAGGGAACGACCGATTTCTAGGCAAGCCCCCAGAGAAATAAATATTGCTCGAAACTGACCAGGAACTCGTTCAAAATATATTTAGATTACTGAGAGAGAGCGGCAGATCTACCAACTCGCCGATTTATGTTGTCGGCATCTTTTCTGGAGTTGACAAGCTGGGGGAAGGATTCGGTAGTTCACTAAAGATGGCGGAATACCGAGTAGGTTCCCTTTATATACCTTTATCGTAGGCCAGAAAAACTCATATTGTTTTAGGCAGCAGAGGATGCACTCCATCGGCTTTACCTCACTCGAGTACCAAGTGACCTTGTAACCCTCCCGACCACCGCTTTCCCAACGCCCTTACCCAAACAACAAAAATCTATCTACGATTCTGCCCCTGTTTCTGAGTCAGCGGAAACGACACCATATATCCCATTCCAATTCCCGGCGCACAACGCCACCTCTCCAGGCGAAATGACCACTATTGGACAATCAGAGATTCTCTACGGAACCAACGACTCCAATGATGTCAATGTGGTCGAAGATCTCAAGCGTCCATGGTGGCGTCCCGCATCAAGAGATCCTGTCAACAAGCCACGGTCCGACTTGGCTAACGAGAGGATAGCAAGGAGGGAGAGGAAGAAGGAAAGGGCAATAGAGGAGGGACGTCCACAGCTTTTGATGAGGAAGAAGATGAGAACGAAGAGGAGATTACGAAGATCTCTCGTAGGACATTCGAGAAGGGTCCAAGCCAAGTAGAAATGATAATCATTGCAGATTTATTGACATCTCATCCTAACTTACTACTCCTTATACTGGTTGATATTTGTGTTGAATTTGTGTTTTTCTCGAGGTGTTAATTCGAGTTCTTTTAACACAAACCCCACTTGGCATCTGATATCTGCGATATAGTTGATTGAGGACTTTTCTATCTACTAGAAGAACCTTTTCTTTTTTCTACCACATTCCATGTGCGATTCGGGCTTTGTCACGGTAAATCTGACCCGACTTGCTCGGTGCCCGTGATTCGGAAGTGTCTCTTAGGGCTTATCCATTATCTGATAAAGCCATAGGCCCCCCTGTTGGAGCAGTATTTATTTGTCTGGGAGCTTGCCTAGAAATCGGTCGTTCCCTTCCAAAATGTTCCACGGTGAAACTCAGAGTGAGTTTTGGGTCACGAAATTTGAGGAGATCTCGCAAATCAACTGATCTCGATAAGAAGAATGTATGGGCGAATTTACGAGCCACCGCTAGCGATCGATGGTGGTAAATTAGAGCAGTCAGTGCTCGTGGAACGGATGCAAGGGCGTCTGAATATGTCACTGCTTGCTTCATAGTAGAAGATGGCTTTTCATGGTAGAAATGAATTCAGTATTTCTGTTCAAACGGACCGAGCAACAAATCAGAAAAAAAGAGAGCTCACCTTTCGTTGCCAACGTAGTAGTGGGGCAACTCCAATCTCTTGAGCAACATTAGAACAAGTATGATGTCCTACATATGCATTTGCTGCCGCTTTCAGGGCGCGGGTTGGCAAATGTGGGTAACTTGCATGTAGATATTCTGTTGCGAAAAGCCCCAGTAGTGTGTTTCCCAATGAGGCAAGCATCCCATTTGTTGGGGGAGTTGATTCATTGGGGTACATTGACGCATGTTGGCGTGCAAAAGAGTCATGAGTGCAAGCCTGTCGAAGTAGTAGTGCCATTTGTTCGTCTGGAAAAATGTGAACACGGCAATGTAAGCAAACATATTGTTCAGTCTTTCAAACAAATAGGAAGAATGCTTGAAACTGACCAGAGTTAATTGACGAAGAATGGGTTCCTTTTGAGGTTGAAGTTGTTGTAAATATACCAGCTATGCCAATCCTATGCGCCAAGGCAACAAGAGCACTGTTTGGAGGTGGTTGAAGAGAGTCCCAATGAGCTGCTACGCCAGGTTTTTGTGCATCTAGCAGTTCTGTGGGTGGGAATCGGTGTTTCTCAGAAGGAGGTGACAGCGACATCGTTGGGATAGCGAGACGCGTCCGTGAGAGGTTTTCATAAGCCTTTTTCCATTTTGACCCGATTGATTTGGTTTTAGAGGCCATATTTCGGTCAAATTTTTGGCCAATTTGAGAGTCACTTGAGCACAACGCTCAAATTTTGAACAGCAGATGCCACCTTGCACCTTTCGACATATTACCACACAAGTCTTATGCAAGCATATAATTATAGTAATTCATGAGCAAATTTAGCAACACGAAATCGAATTTATGATTTTAAATCTCGTTCTATGCAATGTGATCCCAAAATCCGAAAGTCGTTCCAGATTGTGTTAGCTATCTGGATAGACATCAATCGAGAACTTCTCTCATGAACCAGGATATAGTCCAAATTTGAGCCGCATTGCTTGAGTAATTAAACCTCGAAACTCTTTACTACCTATGCTAGTAAAAAACCGTAGACACAAGTGCGGAAATTTGGCATTCATCCAGCATTCGAGCGATTCAATACGAAGGGAAGGCAATGCTATATATATACTCCTCCATACAAGACATTACAGTCCAAGATCAAAGATCAGTTGCTTCATCTGCATTCAGCAAGAGGTTTGCAAAGAACCGCACGCTCCCAACTATTCCACTGGCACGAATATGCTCATCTACGGTGTGTATACCTAGGAAATCTTCTGCCCTTAGATGAGAATAGCGGAATATATGGGGTGTCAAGTTCCAGTATCGGCGTGTGTCCGTATTCCCTATCATACTCGTGTTAGAGATGAACGGATCCTGTAGGAGTCCCTTACCTGACATGACAGAAGGCATGACGTAGACAGGCTTTGATGCCAATGTACCATTACCTCGAGCTTCTTCGGTGGCTAGAATACTACCGGCGAGCAACCGGTACGGTGCTGCATTTACAGGTGTCACTGGCGCCGGTTCCAGTCCATTCCCCCAAGCATCTGAGATCTCGATTTTTGGTATGGATCCCTTATCAACAACAGTGTCGCCAAAGGCGATGAAAGTGATATTGTGAGTGACGGCGAAATCCTTCAAAAGTGTTCGGTAGTGTGACTTGACAGCTACTAGGGAGGAATCTGTGGCAATACGCGTATTTACAATAGCCCAACTTACCAAAGTGTCAGGCCTTGATGGAGCTTGAATAGATGGATACATTTGACATACCTAAGTTCAGGCAAGGCATTGGATTTCACGCCACCTTGAATTATATCGACAGCTTGAGTAGTGCCTACAGTACTCTTGATGGTATTGTCTCGGAATATGATCTCTTCCACTCGATGCAGCGCTCTATTCGAATCCCACGACTTTTGTATAGCCCTTCTAAGAACCGAAGGAACATCTGGACCATGTTCTGCTAAGCAATGGAGAGAGGAATATATTGGTTGGGATCTTGATAGACGTGGCGGTATCGTATTATTTTCGAGGAGAACGATGATTTCCGAAAGCAAACCAATTCCCTAAGTAGAGGTATTAGACGAGAGAGAACACGGATAGTAGGTGTAATCACCGTATGCTGATTTGGCGGCGGTATGCTGGAGTGCCCTCCTGGCGTAGTAATTTCTACTTTGACATCGAGATATCCTTTTTCCCCTACAGCAGGTGCTGCGAAGACTGCTCCAAACATATCTATCATAACTCCTCCCTCGTCTATGAGCATAGAAAACCCATTTTTCCCGTAAGTGTCTTCTAGATAAGGTGCAAGCGTCCCTGCACCCTGGATCCCGCTAATTTCTTCATCAAATCCAAATGCCAAGACGACAGTTCGATGAGGCTTGAAGCGATGGGACAACAGTGTCTCAATAGCAAGTCTGTTCGTTTGTCAATGGTGGATTCATCTGGCATAAAGAGCCACTAACAAAATTGAAATGAGAGCCGACTTGTCATCCATACTGC